ATACACACACACACACACACACACACACACACACACACACACATATACACACACACACACACACACACACACACATACACACACACATATAAAAGATGGATGGATGGATGGATGGATGGATAGATAGATAGATAGATATTAATTTGGGGTCTTCTTTTATCTCCCCCTCCCTATTCCTCTCTTTCTCCTCTCCAGTCTGTCTAATTCTGCCTCTGTTTTAGGTCTTGTCTCTGTTGTCTTTCCATGAGGCTCAACATATCTCTCTCAGTCATTGGCTGTCCGCCCTTCTCTCCTCCTCTCTTGGTCTCCCTTCCTTCCTTACTCCTGCCTTTTGCTCTGGCTGTGGCTGCTGCCACTGCTGCTATGATACATTTTCTATTGATGGAATGAGCATTAAAGATGCCCAAATATGGTAACAGGTTTCAGTCAGGGCTGAGATCATGGTAGCCAGGCAATGCTTGCACTCTGCACAGTGGTCAGGAAACTCAGAACTGTCACAAACACTGGCCCACCTTATGTCCAGACACCTAAGATCAAGGGGAGACAGAGTGATGCAGCCAGACCCCAGTTTATAAAAGGCAGCAGAAGCTGTCTGTTGGCAGCTGCCACTTTTTACATTTCAGTCGATTTTCTATCCCACTGCAATTTACATTCGTGTCTCTGTTGTGATCACTTTGCTGTGCCTTTACTGGAGGGAAAACCACCATTTCTCTTAGAAACACTTAGATAACTAGAGTAAATCACTGAATGAGAAAAGCTCAGGTACAACAATGAAACTATTGAAAGATTAAAAAACAAAACAAAACACCCAACCTCCTTTTAAAAGACTGTTCAAAGAAATTGCCACATCGGAGTTCTGAAATGTTAAGAATTCCTTTCTTTTCTTTCTGTGGCTAAAGCCAGGAACCTTCTAGAACATTGCAATTGCTTGTTGCTTTGAGCGAAGGAGAAAAGATAATTTCATTTGCCTGAGATTTAACCCACCTGAGAAGTATCTTTCCAAGGCTCCCCTTGAGCAAAAGGCTGGCTGAAAACGTTTCAACCAACCTATGGGGGAATAACTTATCTAATTAAAGAGCTTTGTTTAATCAAACATTCCTTGCTGGCATTTTAGGAAATTCATTTTTACCGACTCCTTCCGGAACCTGTAGAAAATCTTCGAAATGGACAGCACCAACCTCAGCAGAAGACAGCTGCAGTGAGAGGAAGGGGAGACAGGCTATAATGCAGAATGTCACGAGTGCAGCTCCGTTTTTCCCTTTTGTGGTTTTTTTTTTTAAGGAAAGTCCAAGTCAGAAAGGCAGGGAAGCCAACCCCTTAAAATCACGGCTCGTGAAACTGATTTAAAAAGGGTTTTAAAGTCTTTCAGAAAGGCTATGTAAGGTGTAAAACTTTCCACCTAGGACAGATTCTAAACTGTAATGAGATTTTTCCCTCAACCTAACCTGCTTATTACCATTTATTGAGAATTCACCATATGCCACACCCTGGGGTAAATATTTAACTAGCTCATTTAAATTTCACAGTAACCCTTTAATGCAGATACAATTATTTTCACTAGTTTACAAATGAAAACAATTATGAGCCTGATGGGTTAAAGCAGTTTGTTCACATAGCTAGGAAGGAGATCTGGGATTCAAACCCAGGTCTGCTGACCTTACAATCTGTTTTCAAATAAATACCTGTCTCATGGGCAGACTCGCCGCCTAAGAGTCTCGCTACAGAGAGAAAATTGGCTCTGAGCCTCAGTAGTAACAAATGTCCCAGATAGGGAGCCTGTTTACTCTCCCCTGGGCCTGTTCAGTAAATCTCAGAATGTTATAGAGACCATCGTGGTAAGAACTTATTTGTCAAGCCCTAAACCAATATAATGCCATAACTTGATAGAAAGAATATAAATAAAGGGGAGGTGATTTATAATTAAAATAATATGTGTTTTAATCGGTTGAAGGCATAATGAAATCATTGATTGTTTGGGCCTACTTATAATGAATAAGTTTAGATTTTTAAAAAATGTAAGGCAATATAAAGTTGAATATCACTGACACTTTGTCTTTATATTTAACATATTAACATAAAGGGTAAATAAGTAGATTTGTTTGCATATACAGACCTATTCATGAAACAAATAAAATGCAGATCAATATATTGGCAACTTAAACAGCCCAAATGACCTTGTCATCAGTGGTGTGATTGTCCAAAATGGTCAATAGTTCACGGTAAAGTTTCTAAAAAAACAAGTACTGTATAATCTTCCCTTGATTTACATGGTTGTTATGTTTCTGGAAAATTCAGTATCTAATTGTATCTTAAAACCATACAAAAATACAGTGTATTTTTCATATACAATAGAATTAGGTTCTAAGCTTAGACCATTATAAAATGTCTTGGAGAGCAGTGGAAAGACATGTGAAATATGAGACAGACCTTCTTGGTTTGGAATTGTCCTGTGCATTGCTGGAAGTCTGGAATCCCTGGCTGTGCCCACAG